AAGAGCGGTAAGAGTTAAAAACTCTTGCTTTGTCTTAGCCCCTGGATAAGAGTGTTTAAATCTTATCACTCTTCCCATCACTTGCTTTGTCTCAATGCTCTCTGAATATACTGAATTTAGAATAGAATTATCTGCAGATCACTTTTGTAGCTTGCTTCTTGCATACTTTGACTGCCACCAGCTTCAAACATTGTTTCATGAGGCAGGCCTGAAAAATAGAGTTTAAAACCCAGTTTGGATTCTCATTTTCTACCTAAGTTTCTTATTTTTTCTGCTTTTTCTGCATAACTATGAGAGTAAGGTCTTTTAAGTGAAAATGGAGTTTCTCCACATGATTGTAGGAGTCTAAGCTACTTGAATGGTCCCTGTTTTAATTCTGAGTATCAGTGGACTGGACATCAACTGGGTAGAAGCTAAAAGTAATTTAAACACAACAGATCCAATGTATCTCTTGTGTTCTTATGTGCTTTATGTGATTACAGAAACAGAAGTTACAACTGAAAAATAAGTTCATTTAACCCTTTTATTTATCCTTCAGATTTCCCTGGTTCCTAAGAGTCTGGCACGAAAACGGATTTGGAATAAGAAATACCCTATTTGCATTGAACTTGCTAGGCAGGATGACTTTATGGCTAAGGCCCAGACTGATAAAGAGAATGCAGAGGAAAAGTTATCTGCTGAAAAAGCAGATGACAATGAGGACTCCAAGAAATCTCAGGACGGAGCGAAGTACAGTAGTCAAAAGGATCAAGTGCTTTATCTCTTTGGAAGGACAGGTAGGGAGAAGGAGGAGTGGTTCAGAAGGTTCCTTCTTGCATCCAAGCTGAAATCTGAATCAAAGAAGCCATCCAGTTTATGTGGGAGCAAGCCAGGTATTCAAATTTTTTATTCTGGTAAAAGTGTTTGTTAAGAGAAACAAACCAATGTTATGTTTTCACAGTGGTAGTTATAGCAACTGTGGAGCCATGGTGAACTTTTCTTTACAGAGAAATAATACTGAAGACACTCTTCTGCTCCTTATCTTGGCCTCTCTTTCTCACCTTCCCACCCTGCCTTTTCCTCTCCTAGCTGTATACTTGGCTATATGCCCTGAAATATTCGTATTATTTTTAGAGTGTTCCACGTGAATTATTTTTTTCAGTGACTGTAACAACTCCTGTAATTTTTGTGAGGATGAACTGTTCAGTCTTTTCTTTTTCCTTTCTACTGTTGGAACTGATGTCAACATTTGCGTCATTGTATTAGACTCAGTCCTCTTTCCCATTCTTCCTCCTCCATCCTTCCTTCCACTCCAGTCTCCTGTAAATAATAGAGTTTTCTCATTGGTTGAAGTCCCAAGAAAACACATTTTTCTGTTTAAATAAAAAGTCCTGTGCTAATATATGTACCCGAACAAAGAACCGTATTAGTCCACAGTATTGATTGAATGTTTGAAATATTCATTTAAACCCATCCTCTGATATAATTTTAAATCTGAATGACTCATGCTTTTCTGTCTTTATTCTCTGAGAAGCTTTTTAAAAATTAGTTAACATCATTATTTCTGGCACATAACTTCTTGAAATGCAAATGCAAAATTAATGGCTAATTAAAATTCTAATAGCTACATGGTTTTCACACTCCTTTTAATTGTAGCAGCCTATAATTAAATTAAAAGAGAAAAAAGGTTAGTTATTGGTACATTTTAATCACCTGACTTTTATTTTAGGCATTCCCTAGCAGGGTTGTTGGGCATTCTGCCATATGTTATACATATGTGAGTGTTTATATTTAAATATGCTGTTGATCAGCTGAGTTTTCCAGTCCAACGTCCTGCTGGGTGCTGAATCATACCAAATATTCACTCATTTGGGTTTAGTGCCACCTGAGCACACAGTAGTCGAATTTACCCTTCAAAATAAGAAAGCACTACTCTGGTCTTTTTTCAGAAGAAATTAAATGTGCAAGCTGATTAAGTTCCTTTAAGGGTTTGATCATACAGTCTGCTCTGTGACTGTCAGGTTCCCTTTCTGTTAAACACTTATTGTTCTGTTTGATTTAGGGATCTTGCCAACACAGAGTAAACCCGATAGTCAGTCTGGAGTTCTCACACACAGCCGAAGCAGCAGCAAGGGAAGTGCAGAAGAAATTGCATCCCAGCCAAAGCACAAGGATCTGGCTGGCAACGTGAGGCAGAAAATGCTTCTGGACTACAATATTTATATGGCAAAGTGTGTTCCACATGAAAAGAAAAGCCCTTCAGGTAGTCCAGTCCTCAGTGCAGACAGCAGCCCTACAGCTGTGAAGAAGGTAACACTTTTCCTTCAAAAGATACGTAAGAGGTGGTGGTATATTTTAACTACTGCTTTAAAAATTAGTTGTGTAGGAAGAAAATTAATTTTTTTTAACTACAGGTTGGATCTGAACTTTATATAAACTCAGCTGTGAGTTTTTGCACTTGCCAGTTCACTGTTGACCACAGTTTCTTCTGAACGTAGCAAACAAGTTTTTTCATCGATTCAGTTTGATTTCTTATCTCCCAAGAACGTCTCTGTGGGTTTTGGCTTTTGCCATGTCTTGTACATAAAAGATTGTACAGCTGAAGGCAATGTGGCTGTAGGTTTTCTTCATTAGGATTGCACAGATGTGTCCCAAAAACCATTGGTCCCGAAAGAACTTGTATCTTATACTTAAGATTGAAACAAACAAAAACCCGAAACAAAATTCCCCCGAATTAATTTCCCAATAGTAGTAAAAAGTTAATTTTTCCATGTGTATTCTAAAGTAGATTGAACTGAAAGCATATTTTTGAGGTCCTGGCTTGTTGAAACAGTTTAAGTGGAATTTTTAGTAATTAGTAGTAAAATTCATCCTCTTGGACTGCAAACAAAACCTTTAATGCAGCAGAAGGAACAATATTGTTTCTGAAATCCTGTATACAAGCCCTGGAAAGAGAAATCTGTTTCCCTGCCCTGCATTTGTGTCATCTATTTGTAAGATTTGGTCTCGTTTTATTAAAAAAATAGGAAAACAAAAGAAGAGTAGAGTAGCTATTCTTCTGGATGTTGTAAAGCTGCTGTGTGTGCAGAGCAGTTGGTGTTTTTAGCTAACCCAGGCTATAACACCAAACTTGCCAGTGTAGACGAGGCCTTTTCTGACCCTGGTTTATAGAATGTGTAGAGCTGAATGACCTGCTCTGTGTTTTCAGTTACCAGATGCCCATGTGGAAGCTGAAGAAGAAGAACAGGAGGCCTGGGTGAATGCTTTGCTTGGAAGGATATTCTGGGATTTTTTAGGAGAAAAGTATTGGTCTGATCTAGTGTCAAAGAAGATCCAAATGAAACTTAGCAAAATAAAGGTAACTAATCTGGAGACTCACACTACACCTTCCTTATGGAAAGAAACAAACACATACTCTTTGAGTTTGTTTTTTTTAAACAGTAGAGGAAATTCTTGTTTCACACTTACATGTGGAAGACAAGTAAATAAATGTGATAGAGAGCCCCAGTTCAGCTTTGCTATCTGTTTCACAGGAGGATCCCAGTATGCTAACTTCACTGCTTCAGTTTCAAATGAACTGGAGTTGGATTAACTATTTGTGATGTTTTTGTGTAAAAAGTACATATTATTGTATTTACTTTAGGGGTAAATAGAACTGCTTATAAATTATGAAATCTGCTTTGGGAAATAGTAGGTTGCCTTTAAGATGGAGGAGATGAGGGAACCACCATTCTAATGTGTTCCTGTTAACTTCAGACACACACAACGTGTGGGAGCAGAGGTCAGTGGGAGTAGCAGTCAGGGGAAAAGTTGTCTGTAGGGTGATAGGATGTAATTGTGCACCAGCTGCATTAGCTCAAAGGGTGAAGGGAGGAGTGTTGCTTTGGAGTGACTTCTGGGTCTTCCTTTTGCATTCTGTAACTCTTCTGAGCAGCAGCAGTTAATCACAGGCTTGGTTAGCTCCTGATGTTTGGGGAGGAGTTTCTCTCTTCCTAAAGGCAAAGGAAGACATAGTCTTGCTGACAAAAGCTCTGAAATTTAGCTGCCAGCACCAGCTGTGAGATAGCATTGCTTGTGCTTTGGAAAATAATCAGTAACCTAATTCTGCCCTGGCTTTTTCCACAATTGTGACAGCAGGGTACCCAAACATCTCATTGAAAACAGTTTAAGTGAAAGGACTGGGAATGGGAGATGCTGCATTCTTGATAGGTTAAAACACTGTCTGTTCACAGGAGATAGATTTTCTATCAATTAAAAAGTTTTACAGTAAATAAATACCCAAATCATCATGGTTCTGTGCCTCTTACACTAAAAGTGTGATATAGATTTAAAAGCTAATGTGCTATGAAAGAATTTGCCAAAGATAAAAATAGCTGAGATGTTGATATAACTGCAACTGTAAAATATGTGACTAAATTTTAAATCCAAAGAAGTCTTTGATTTTTATTCACACTGCATTCTTGAGCTTTTTACATGCTCTGACTAGAAAGCATGCTGGAGGCTTAAGGTCAGCATCTGAACTTAAGCATAGTTTTAAAAACATTGAAAATTCAGATGCTGAATTTCTACTTAAAATATTTTGAAATGGGCAACTGTGAAATCATCAAATTGGAAGAATTTTGTGTTCTTTTGCTGGTGGCTTTTCAGCTCAATCTGTTCCTTAAGTTTAATGACCTTTCTTTGCTTGGGAAGCAATGATATTTAGTTTTGCAACACAGATTTGTTTTTTATGTTCTCTTCTTTTAGCTGCCATACTTCATGAATGAGCTAACTCTAACTGAGCTTGACATGGGGATAGCAGTGCCGAAGATCCTTCAAGCCTACAAACCTTCTGTTGATCACAGAGGTAAAATACTTGCTTCCTCTTCTGCTCTTGCTAAGCTCATGCCTTCATACCTGTGAAGAACAGAATGTTGATCCATTTGTGGGCGCTGTACTCAGAGGAAGGTACACTTAATAAGAGCTTCTTCTGAGGAGATAGTGAGTGATCTCTGTCTGAAATACTAGTATCATCAGGCTTGCTACAAACCTAATTCTACAGATAAGGAAATATGATCATGTCTTTCCACTGGAAATAATTGCTGAACTAAACTAAAATTTGCATGCAGCAGAGATATGCAGGCCTCTATCTGATACTTTGTCAGGAACTGCAGAGAGCAATGCATGTCTCTGCAAGACAGGTCAGATTCTGTACCACAGCAGAAAACAGATCTGCCTTTCTTCAAGAGAAGTTGCTCTGTTCTGAAAACAGTGATTCAGAAAATACAACTGTAATTACTCAGAAAACAAGAACACAACATTGCTTTGAAAAGAAACTTCAAAATACAGCATCATTTTATGTCCTCAGTATTAAATATGGATTTTTTAAAGTGGAATGACTGTCTTCCATACTGCTGCTTTATGAATCAGAACTTCTTTCTGGCTTGCGTATAGTCACAGGAGTGTATTTGAGCATACTTTTGTCACTTAAGTAGTTTCACAAAAAGACAAACCTGAGTTAATATTTTTTGATTTCAAAAGTATTTGTTCTGCATGCTGAAGAGAAGTAGATGCCATCTTTCTCTAAGACATAATCAGAACAATTTTTAATTTTGAATTGTTTCTGAGTTTATTAAGGGTTTCTTTATTTGTCTCCTCTTGCTCCATTCACTCCCTTAGTTACCATATTGTTACACTGGGCTGGAGAAGTGAAAGAGAATTATTTAACTCAAGGTGAAGAATTTTCTAATTGGTCTAATGGGAGATATTTCCTTTGAGGACCTGTTGTGGCTGTAGCTATGGACTGCATGGCAAACAACTTATTTTTGTTCCAGACTGCTCTTTCAACTCTTAAATGAAGATACCAAAATAATTTCTAGGTGGTGCCAAAACATAAATTGGTAGGAATTTAATGAATTTACAATACTTGTTAAGAGTCTTAAGAGCCTCTGGAAAGGCTCTAAATTACAGGCCAGCAGGAAGCCAAACTTCAGCAAGTCTTGGTAGCATATTTGGAACAATAACAAGAAATATGGACAGAGTGAAGTTTGACTGGATAACTAGCTGAAAATTGTAACAGGATCAACCTACCCTAGCTCTGTGCACAGTGTTTTAAAGTGAGGAACAGACTCTCATGTTTCTTTATGTAGCTTCTCAAAGCATGAGGGTGTAGTACCAGCTCCATTTTTGGGTGCTGGTTGGAGGGCATGGCAGTGCTGAACTCAGGGCTTAAGGGGGGTTCTGTTCACTGGGGTGGTTCATCTCCTCAAGAGTTCTGCTCACTGTTCTTAAAGGTCAAGCAGCAGTGGTTCCTCAGGATGGGGAGTCTGTGCTAGGATTCAGCCATGCACTGTATTAGAGAATGAGTTGGTTTTTGCTTGGAAGCAGTTTAGGCTTCGTCTTTGCTCTTATCCTATAGTTTGGACCTGGTCTTTTTAAGGGTTATTTAACTAGTTTTGAGGTAAAATTCTCTTGGAAGTACACAGCATGTTAACTAATGCTGCCTGTTGTATCCAAGTGCTGCTGTTTGCCCTTGTCTCACTTGAGATGTGCAAATCTTTGGGGAAAATCCTTATCTGTGAAACACTGGATGCTCTGCTTTTAATTTCTTGAAAGTATGTTTTCCCTTGAGCTTTATAAACAAAGCATGTTTGAAAAGACTAAATTGTTTTGTTGTCATGAGGAACAAAAACTATATTTTACAGAACTAAAGCTGGAATAGATGGAATAAACTTATGTGCAATCAATGTTTGGGGAACAAAAACATATTGCTGCCTCTTGTCATGTGGTTCCTGCGTGGGACAGCAGGTTCTCCACACTACTTACAACATCCTCTGGTGTTCCCAGTAGCAAGGTGGCTTCACCACCAGTAGAAATTTTGAGTTACATAAAACAAAGTGAAATTTTTTTAAATGGTTACATGTATGATACTTGCCAAATGGTTTTGTAGCTTCTTGCTAAACAGAGTTCTGCTTTGGGGTTCTTGTCAGAGTGTTTCCCTTTGCCTAGATTTAACATGTTTTGAATTCCTTTCTCTGCTCTCATAACTTTAGTTGTAACCAAAGACTAGTTCTAAGTCATGAGATGGGATTTAGGAAACTGCTGAACACTTGGCTTCAATTAATTGCCAACAACAGCAGTGAGAACAATTAACTCTTTCACTTTCTTGTTTGGATAAACTGTGACAAACAAAAATTTAGGATAGCATTTGTAATCCTTGTAACTTCCTTCATATTGTCAAATGACATGTGAGCTCTTAGTATCTGAGTTTTTAAGAGTTTGCAGTGAATAATTACTGGAATAACTTGTTTTGCTATTGTACTAAAGTAAGGTGATGATAATTGGAAATGCCTGTTTTCATAAGGATAAATGAATTTATGTTGGTAAGTTGACCTATGAATAAACCACACATGGGGGAAAAAAAAAAGTCCTATCAGATCAGTATCCAGAATGAACACTCTAAAGAGTTTTTTTAAGTGTTTGAAACAGTCATATGAGGTAGCCTTTTGTGAGCCCTTAAAATGCAGTTACAAATTGTGATGCATTTTGTTTCATCTGTACTTTTTTACCAGTGCTTGGTGCTGAGGAAAATATTTTTTTATAATATGGCTCCTCTAAGTAACCAACTTTGTTAACAATGTTAGCAAAAAAATAATCTTTTTTTCTGTTAGTACAGCTCCATTTGGGTGACAGCATATGCTGTAGTATTTACTGTTCTTCTGTCAAGGCTAGGGAACCAGATAACTCTGTATAAATTGTATCATCTGCCCAATTCCTCACCTCCTCACACTCCTTACCTCCCTCTTTTCCCTCTGGAAAAATGCGTATGATCATTTTCTGGCCAGAAGTTTTCCCTCTCAGTAATGACTTCCTTTGCTTAATTTGGTCTACTGTTAAAACAACATTGAAGCATGCTGACTCATTGGTTATCACGGGGTCTGTTTAGCTGTTTTCTTGTTTCTGATGTTACTGCTACTTTGTTACTGTAAAGGGGAAAAATCTCTATAAGCTTGTGTTTGAAATCTTGTGTTTTGTTTTAGAACAGCATTGGAAAAACTGTATGATGCAAAATAATAATTTGGTTTAGTAAAAAAGCAGCTCTCCTTCAGTATTTCCAGCATGTACTCTAATAGTGTATCAATGACCTACTCTTTTGGAGCTCTGTGTATTTCTGTTAAGATAAATGGGTGGGACTGGGGACAATGCCATTCTCCTGGTATGTTCTTGCTGAGAAGAAATCAGTTGTTCTTTAAGTGTAGAAGTGTCTCTTTCGTCATCAATCAAACCCAGAGAGTAGTTACCATTAATTGCTTCTGAACAAGTAAATAAAAGTAGAATGCTTTAGTGGTTGGTGTGCCAGTTACTGGTGGGGCATATTGTGTGCAGCTGCAATATCTGGAAAAGGAAGATGCATAATCTCTGCTTAGTGGCATCTGATTTCTAGTCTCTGGCACAAATACCCTACAGCTTTTTTAATTGGTGGGGCTGCAGGGTGTCTCTTAAGAGGCAGGACCTAATCTGCAATTATTCCCAAGACAATTCTTTTTGCAATTGCAATAAGTGAATAGTTTGCCCAGACAATAGGATTTAACTTAATACTACACAACTAGAATTGTTCTAAATAACGACCCTGTTTGCTGTGAGTCATAAGAAGAATGCCTACAGCTGAGTTACCCAGTGAACCTTTTCATGCTTCTTCAATACACCATTGTTGAAAGCCAGAGAGACTGCAGGTTATGAAGTGTGACGGGCAGTGTTGCTCTGGGATTTCAAGTTTTGCTTCATTTGTACAGCATAAGGAATATAGAGGAGTGTCCCCATTACTGTTTGGCTTGGAGCAATGCTGTAAATAGTTTTGAAGTGAATCCCTGGTTGTATTCTATTCTCTTTATCTTGATTCAGATCTCTTAAGCAGTTCTGCTGCATGTAAACCACATTGCTTTTTTTATATCATGAGCTGTGCTTTCTGATCTGTCTTTCAACATGGTTTTAATTTATGTTTGAACATTCAACTTTGTTCCATAAGCTTAATGTGAACAGAAAACTTGTTTTGATAAGCTGTTAATTATTTGTGAATTAATGATGTAATCAGTTGATGGAAAGTAGTTTTTCTCTTCTGAAAAAGTATGATGTATTGTCTTATTAAAAATGAGTTTGGGCTTGACATTAAAGTGATTGTGACCAGTTTTAAAGTGACATCTTGTTGTTATTGTTAATTTTAGGACTTTGGATCGATTTGGAAATGTCCTACAATGGATCTTTTTTAATGACACTAGAGACAAAGATGAACTTGACCAAACTCGGTAAAGAGCCGCTTGGTGAAGCACTTAAAGTTGGAGAGATTGGCAAAGAAGGGTAAGGTATTGCAGTGGCAGAGTCAAGTGGGAGCTTCCATAGTGGAAAAGTGAAACTTGCCTTGCATATATGCAGCTCTGGCTCTGCAGTAGAATGAAAGAAAGAAATTGGGAGGGGTTGCGTACATGGGAGTGTAGGACATGGCCTTTCTGTGCAACTTTGTTTGATTTCATCATTGGTAATTGTCTTAATAAAAGAATTTTGCAATAGAATACTTTTTATATATATATATGAGTAGAATTTTAAAATGTTCTGTGACTAAAATTTAATTTTCTCCTATTCTTGATTTGGGTTCTTAGCCAGTAGCCTTGAATATTGGAGATACTCACTTGCAGATACAGAGATAGACACCTGTACTGTGCTGCTACAGCATGATAGAGCTGGAGTTGTAAACCATGGAACAGTAAACAACTGTGGAAGGTTGATAGGCTGTAATTGTTATGTAAAGACTTTTTGAGTAGCTTTATTCCATCACTGGAATAAGAACACCCTTACTTTAGTCTCCAGTTTTCCTCCTATCTCACTTCTAAGTGAAATGCCTTACAGATGAACTGCTTAGAAAACACACACATACTGTAACTTACCTACCTTGTGTTTGTGCTTTCCCTGGCACTTTGATCTGTCCACTGGTATTAAGGTGGTGAGTGACGCCTGTCAAATATCCATCCCATCAGCTGTGGAGTGTTGAATCTCCTTGTGCTGTATGCTCTTTGAACTGAAGAAATCTGCAGTCCGTGAACAGCAGCTGGTCTCTGATTTAGTGTACAACCACTGCCAACAAATCAGGAAAATAGTCTCTAAATCTGGCCATTTGTTTAGATTGGAAAGACCACAACATTTTATTCGTAATTAGGATACTAGATGCTTTGTATAATCCTGTCATAGCTCTGACCATTTATTCTGAGGTATCTTGAAGTAATACTAGAGCAGTGCTATATTACAGTGCAGTCATGACAAGAAAATAAATGTGAAAAAGGTAATGGCTGAATGATCTCATACACTGATAGAAATTCAGAGGATTTAAAATCGACCTGGATTCTAGTTGTCACTGCTTGAAATAAATATTTCTGCATTTACATCAGTATAATTGGTAGGAGTGATTTTTTTTTCAAAAATCTCTTTAATCTTGTCCACCCAAAAAAATGAGAGCTAGAGAAGGACATGTCTATACAAATCAAAATCTTGCTTCTCTTCCCCATCCCTTCAGTATTTTCTTTGTGTATTTTTATATCCATCCAGTGCAAGAACAGCCTCAGAAAAAATTAGTGAATGCATTGATTTCATATTTAACAGTCGGCTCGATTCTAGCTGAGCAGTAGGCCCCCAGCAACATGAATGTAAATGTCTGTAGCTAAGCAACCAATTTCTTGAAGGTAAAACCATTAACTGCATTGCTCCCTGCACATGGCTGGGATGTTTGCCACGCTCAGGGCCAGGTACCAACCATGCCAGCTTGAGATAAAGAGTAGTCAAATGTATTTTACATTGAATGAGGGTTTTTGGGTTGCTTGGTGGTTGGTTGTTTGTTTTTTTCCTTAAATACAATAGATATTATAAACAAATAACAAATGAAAGACTTTGAGGACTATAGAACAGTTTGATTTAATTTTACTGCCTTTTCTAACTATGAGTTGGTGATTGCTGTGACAAGTCAAACTGATCTACATGTGCTTGCATCCACAATCATACTGTCTGTAAGTGATGCATCTTTGTTGCTTACTCTCATTTTTATCCCTCAAGTGCCTAGAACAAACCACCTCTTGAGATGCAGTGACCACAAACTTGTGCAAGAAAGGCATCTAGTCATCCAGAAAGAGGATGGTGGGGGAAACAGCACTGAGTTTTAACTGTCCTTGGATATTGTCAGTGTCAATGAGACAAATGGTTGAATGTGGCAGCCTGTTCTATCACTGCTGCTGTGTTACTGTTTGAAATAGAAATGAAGTGTGCTGTTGTAGTTTGAGAATGCTGTCTTGTGTGTGATCTCAGGAAAATGCAGCTCTCAAAGAGGCTGGAATTAATTGAATTAATTATAAACTTAGTACAGTACCCACTTCTACCACTCTGGAGATTAAGCAAATGCAGGCAGGCTAACCCAAAGTTACCACAGTTTCTTACCCCATTGGTCCTTTTTGATATGTTGTACCACGTAAAAACAAACTGACAAGTGGCAATTTATAAAATATTGTGCAGTCTGCCCAGGAACAATACTGTAGCTCCAAAGTGTTTTTCTGCCAATGGTTGTGTCATATAAATGGTCCATTGTATGCAGAGATCCCCTGAAATCTCACTCAAGCTTGTTTATTGTTGCTTTGTTTAATGGGAGGAAATCTCGTGGCCTTAGCCGGTCGGTGCATGCTTGTGGAGAGCTTCAGAGGGGCCCATCACACAGGCAAAGAAACTGCTTTCTTGTAAGAAGGTGACACCTTTGAGAACCTTGAAAATGCTTTAAACTGCATAGTATGATGTGCTCAGAGAAGTGGCGTAAGGTCACACCCAGGTAGAAAATGTGTGGTTTGAATCTGACCTAAAAATGTGAACTCCTCTCTTGAGGAACAGCCCCAGCACTGGCATTTGGGTCAGTGACATGAACCACCCACCACCCCCTTAGTCCCCAGGGAGCTGGTTCACTTTGGTTTGCTGCTTCACTATTCTCTGGGTACCCAATGAATCTCTGGGGAGGAAGAAGAGTTTATGGTTCTGATTCCATAGCCAAGGTAGCAAATTTTTAGTGTAGAGGTCGTGGGATTACTGCTCCCATTCTAGTGCTGTGCTCTGTGAGCTGTACGTGAACTGTCCTTTCACATGAGGACTTCATGCAGCAGCTAACATGCAGTTCAGTGTACAGAACAGCAGACAGTAGCCTCAGTCCATGCCCTGTGTGAGGTTATTAAATGCTTTAAATAAATTTCCAAGAACACATCCATACACAAAAGAAAGCAGGCTATGAACTATATTCTGAGCAAGCTGTAGAATATTATAGTCCTGGGTATAGTCCCTACGGCTAAACCCACGTGCTTTTGAAGCTCGTGTTGTGTAACTGTTTCAAGCTCTTGCATTTGGTAGAGATCTGTTAATACTGAACTGTAGTCACTGTGTTGTTCCCTAATTTTAATCTGTTTAAAAGATTTGATTTTTTTTTTCTGTGATTGTGTACCTAAATTATTCCATAGTTGAAGACTAGGAAGTAGTAACTACTGTGTGATATTTTGTACCCTAAGAGCAACACTTGTTTGATTTTATTACTTTAATTTTTCCCCTCTTCTCCCTATGACATTCTTTGCCTTATTCTATCTTGGACTCTCTTCAGAAAAATACAAAACAAGACCTTAAATCCTGTAAATGTAATTCACTGTGTCAGAGGATCTCAAAAATTCACTAGCCTGAAGGTCGATTTCCCTACAAATATAGTAAGAAAAGGAACATTTCCAACAAAGATAATAAAGGGAGATGATAGCCTAAATTTATATGGGACAAATGTATCTCTGCAAAACATCTAAGAAATATTACTTCCAGGGTTATATTAGACTTCTGTTAATAAAATTGCCTTTTTTTCCCCGTGAAGTTTGCCATGATGCACACTGTAGCTACTCCAGTAAGGTGACTCGCTAGTCTGAGAGAACTTTGCTCTGCCAGTGTAAGTGTTGTGCATTTCCTTTTGGTGGTGGGTGACAAAGATCAAGTCTCTTGTGCTTTGCCCATGCTACCATTGCTAGAGATATGTCTACGTTGCAAAAATTGCATGTATGTGTGAGTAGACAAAAACTGATTTGGATTCAAAGTGCTGTGAAGATAAGGTATATATGTCAGCACCTCAGTTAACATCTCTGAGGAGTTCAGTTGGTAGATAATTTGATTTTAAATTGGAGTCCTATAGTACAAGACAGAATTGCTTGTTATCACCTTTTGATTTAAAAACATGTCTTTGTCAGAGTTCTAAAAACAAGCCAAGCCTGTCCAGCCTATATACTACTCGTGGAGAGCCACAAAAAGCAACAGAGATGCTTTCAAATGTATTTTGAATAATGCTGACATTTTATTTGAATATGTAGAACAGTCACTCCCCTGCCATCCTCTTTCATGCAGGATTACATCCACTGGAGAAAACAAATTTACAGACTGATTTTTTTTTTTTTGTCAGAAGCTACTTCTGACAGACTAGCTTCACAGTGGTTTCAGTTTTGTTCTTTCAGCTAGAGTTTATAAAAAAGAGGAGGGGACATTTCAGTGTCTCAAGTAGAAACACGTGTAACCTCAGCCAAAGCTGTACCTGATGATAGCTATTTAAGAACATTACATTTGACCTGGAAATTGCATTGTTTCAGTTTCAGGCCAAGGGCGTATTGTCTCGCTGACAGTGATGAGGAATCCTCCAGTGCTGGCTCTTCAGAAGAGGACGATGCTCCTGAACTGGCAGGAGAGAAGCAGGTGACTCCAGGAGCAGAAGGGTGAGCTGTCTGCATAGTGTTTGTTAATGCTTCCCTCCCCCTCACATTTTTAAACCTGGTGTAGCTGATACCTTGGTCCAGTCCTGTGCTGCTCCCTGTCAGCAGGACCTCCAAGGGTGAGGATATCCAGGCAGTGAAGCAAACGCAGCGCAGCCATTTCTAGAGCAAAGAGCAGCCATCCAGCCACGTACTACCAGCTGAAGGGAGGCTGCTCTGCTGTGTGTTGTACTGTGCTGGGAGCATTGTTTGCCATCCAGCACTTCTGCAGATTGACCTGTGCACTGCTCCATTTGACAGCTCCTAATTTCTTCACTACTAGATTACAGAGAGAGCCAAGTCTTTGGGCCAGAGAACCTATGGGGACCTTCTGCAGCGTTTCTTGCCTGGTATTAGAGCCAAGAACAGGATTGTGTGTGAACTTGAAACACTGTTTGTATACAGTACTATGCCCATACTGATCCTGCTGATCCTGTATTTCCAGTGTGGTGTTCTCTTTAAGAAAACAACTGTTATTCAAGCCTAGCTTTCTAGCTCAGGCTTGTGGGTTTTTTACTTTCTTTTCCCTTGGAGGGCTTTTTGTGTCTGGGCTATGCAATACTGCCCTCTGATGCCGTGCAAGAGTTGTAAAGAAAATTTCCTAACGTCAGTTTTGCCACGTCATTCCTTGGTTTGGCTGTTTGGATTGTTTTGCTGTTTATATCTGAAGTTACACCATGCAGTGAGAGATCTGTGGTAACACTGAAATGCCTCAGACAATCACAAGATTTAAAAATGTTGCAATTTATAAAAATATTGTATTCCCAATGCCATCTGGGAAGGAGTGTTGAGACTGGACAGAAATTCTGCCAGCCAGACACTTGCAGCTGACAGTACAGTTGCTGTTTGCAGGCTTTGGTAGGTACTGCTTGGACATGTGAATACGTATCTGTTTAGAATTTTTATGTAGAAAAACCTCTAATGATTTAATAGGAAATCTGTGTTGTCTTAGCAAACAATAGGGTTAAGAAAATTACCTTGATTACTCTTCTTCTGTTCTCAATCTTAAAGGTACGTCGGAGGACATCGGACAAGTAAGATCATGAGGATTGTGGATAAAATTACTAAGTCAAAATACTTTCAGAAAGCAACAGAGACTGAGTTTATTAAGAAGAAAATCGAAGAGGTCTCCAATACTCCTTTGCTGCTAACAGTTGAAGTACAAGAGTGCAGAGGAACGCTCGTAATCAACATTCCACCTCCACCTACTGACCGAATATGGTAAGAGGCACTTAGTGCAGAACTGGGCAATGTTTCAGGTGTGTGCTGCCTAAGGGACTGCAACTAAGAACAGAGGTAAAACGTAGTCAAAATGGGTTCTGGAAGAGGTGCAATACAAACTAGTTGTAAATGAGGTAGGAACTGCTATGGAGAGAATGCTGAGAGTTAAGACATTTAAGTATATGCTTGGTTGGAGTGTTTATAGTAAAACCTGTTGTGTGTGCTCTCCTAAGGTATGGCTTTCGAAGACCTCCCTACCTGGAGTTAAAAGCTCGGCCGAAACTTGGCGAGAGAGAAGTGACGCTGGTTCATGTAACTGACTGGATAGAGAGGAAGCTAGAACAAGAGTTTCAGGTGGGTTTCCTTGACATTTTCATTTCATTTAATGATAGTTCTGATATATTAGAGGGGTAGGTTTTTAAACTTTTGCATGTCCCCTACTTGATTCAAGATAGTTGGTATCCCCCACTGCTCCTGTTCAGTGGAAAGGTTGTCAAGAACTCAGCTGAGACTGACTTCTGGGATGGTCTCATGGTCTCAAGACCATGAGTGGACCTGTATGGAAATCTGTTTTAGCACTTCTCAGATTGATTTTTCAGGCTGAAAATGCCTTTTCTTTGAAATAGGTACCATGTCAGAACTTGTACTGCGTGAATAAAAACATGGTCCTAGGTGTTGTTAGACGATAGAGGGCAAAAGTGTTGTCTAGAATTAAGGACAGATGAGGCAGTAAGGTGTCCTGTTTCTATTTCCTTTAAAATTAAATAATTTTTAAAAAAGTAGTATTAACCATAGTGCAAAATAGAGGGAAAAAAAGACCTCCAAATATACAAATAATTGTAGGTTAGAACAGGTTAGTGATCACATTCATTCTGACCCCAGCCTGTACAATCAACCAGAAATCAAACCTGTTTAGTTTGTGAAAAGTACTGTTCTAAAATTTATGGGTAAGAGCTGAGAAAGCAGCAGAGCTAAGAAAAGTTGGTGTTTCCTGTAGTACTATTTCAACTAAATGGGTAGTGCAGAAATCTTCCCATTTCTAAACTTCATCTCTATCTGTAACCCAATTAAATGAGTTAACGGCTACCACAGGGCCTCAGTATGGGCACTGACTCAATGCTGAACTCAAGAACCTTTTACCTGGAAAGTTGTTGCCTTGTTTAACTAAACAAATGAGAAGACTAAGAATTGAAGAAGGATATGAAATGTAACTTGATTTAATTGCATCCTTTTTGCAGAAAATCTTTGTCATGCCAAACATGGATGATGTTTATATTCCTCTGATGCACTCAGCCATGGATCCCCGCTCCTCTACGTGCCCTCCAAAGGATCTGATCACAGAGGCCCCTGATCAACCATGACATGTGAAGACTCTTGCAGTTTACAGTATTATAAAAGTAATTCACCTGGTTTTATAAACTGTGCTGTAGTTCTCATCCTTAACCTGTGCCACTTGCCCCCTCCCAAGGACTGCCTATAACCATACCTTTGTGCTCACTTGCCTGGTTATTGTTCCTGTGTACTTCAGCTACATGAAGTTCCATTCCATTAAGCCGTTGGTTTATTTTCGTACTGGCTGCCATGGGGATTTTAACTCAGAGGCTAAGATGACCTGTTCTTGGGGGAGGGAGGAGGAACCTAACTGCAATGGATGGAGGAGCTTGTCGACACACCTTTTGTTCAGCTTAAGTTTTCATGCTGTGTTAATGTGCATTAAAGCATTGAGAGGTTGTTTGGCAGCAAAGAAACTGCGTGCCAAATGGAAAAACTCCTAAGTAAGGAATGAATTTATAAAACTGGAAGAATATGTTTCTTTCTCAGGCAGTTGGAGGTGTAGAATGAACTGTTTTATGTTCTTTCACTTCTGCAGTCAATAGCTTGTGTCAAGCAATCGAAATATGAAATGCTTTCAGGATAAAAGAATGTAAATCGGATGTATAGGTAATATTGTGATTCAGCGTGGTATTACATGTTACTTTTTTCATACAGAACTTGTGTTTTTTTTGGGAAGCAAGTAGCCATAAACCACAACTATCAGTGAACGTGGGGCTGTCGGCTTTTTTGTAGAGGAGGAGGAAAAAATTTGGTAAAGCCATGAGACCAAATCATAGCGAGCCGCCTTACAGTGAGGTACAATCACCTTGGTTCATGATTAACTCTGAATGTTTATAAAGACATGAGCACACACATAAAATGTCAGCACTGCACATTACCAGAAGTACTGTTACCTACTGTGTGTAGAGCCTCTTGCTACAGTGAAACACACCGAGTTTGTTGATAGGAGTCTGTTGCTGTCTTTCCCCTTGCACTGTGTTTACATGCAAAGCATGGGGCCAAACTGAGGTTACAGCTGCACGGCGTCTGGGGAGACAGCTGGGACCCACAGGTTGGACCCCCATGCCTTGGCTTCTTTGGACTTTGTGGAATAGGAACTCAAGCATCGGAGTTATTCAAGCTGATTGCCATGGAATTATAGACTGTTTCTGCTAATTAATGGCCAAAATTAAGGGGGGAGGGAGAGATGCCTTTTATTTCTATCTGGTATAATGACTCGAGACTAAATGTATGCAGGAAATCCAATATTTGAACACTACATATCCACTATTTAACACATGTAATATTTTTCTGATACTCAAGTGTTGCCAACTGTTCATGGATGTCAGAAAATGTTTTAGTTTACAAAGAAGGTGAGTTTTGGCTCTCCTTTTATAACATGATTTGCTTTTTTTTTTTTTTTAGAAGTAATTTTTTAAGAACTTTTTTGTATGTTGTGTTATCACATTTGATGTAAATCAAAGTTTCCATGTGTAACTTGATGATTTGCCATCTCTAAATGAAGCTATTATATTGAAGGTTTTTTAAACAGCACCTTGCCTGAAACATAAAAGAAAACTAGCATTTAATATATTTAAAATTAATTCTATATTTGAACACCTATTTTGGTTACCTTTAATTGAAATATTAGTAGGTTATATTTGTTACCTGAACTCCTCCTTGACCATTCCAGGCTGTGTATATTCTGGGGTTTGCTCTGATTATGTAGGCATTATTTGCCTTTCATGAAGTCTGCATGTCTTGTACGCAGGTCTTTTATATGATTTAATTTCTATGTGCAATAACTAAAGTCAAAGGACTAGATGCACTAATGTGTAAAGATTTAGACTTACTACACAAAGATTGTCATATTGCACTTCATAAACTGTGGGTAACTACACTCTGCTTGCTTTGTTTTATTAAATAAATTTATCCCATCAAAATAATTGTTCAATTAAATTGTTTCTACATAGTGCTTACCCACCATCTGGTGCAAGTTGTTTCAAAACTTCCATTAAAAAAGCAACTTGCTCCAATGACAGTGTGCTATGTGCCCTTCAGATTTTTTATATACCTGGAGTTGATTGTAGGGCTAGCCAATGCTGAGACTGTTCTAGCTCTGAAAAAAGCCTGAGTAACTGAACTGTAGTGAAGCAAAATTTCACTGTAGCAGTTGGTAGTCACACATGAAACATGCTTTCAAGGCATCATCTTTTTCCACTTTACATGCAAGATTATGGCATATTACAGAAATAGGCCTCAGGCTGCACCCTCTGTAGCAGGTTTGGTAGCAAAAACGTCTCTGAGCATCTTTTCATAGTCTTCCTCAACTTGGCTACTGTCATCAGTGTGGGTGTGGATGCAGTTGTTCTCGCTACGGACCTCCAGCCCCTCTGCCTCAAGGTCAGCACAAGGACACCAGAGGCCCTTTAAATAGCTGCAGCTTACATCACTGGAATCAAATTCCCATTTCTGATTAAAGTTCTCTTTTGGCGTGTGCACGAAGTACCCCCCCACGCTGGGCATCTTTATCCCGCCTAACAGTGAGCTCACCTTCATCCAGGCACTAGGCAGCAATGCCGGGACTGGCGGTTTGTTCCAAATACCCTTTACAAACTGAACCCTCAACTACCTGCCTCAGAAAAAACAAGCCCAACTGCGGTGCTGAAGGCTGGGTTACGTTCATGCCGAATGAACCGACAGAGGCCAGTCAC